ATATATATATGTATGTATATATATATATATATATATAATGTGCGGGCGAAACATGATAAAACAAGAAGTTATTCATGTTCACCTCATTTATAATTTGATCTTAAAAAAATTTATTTTTGTTCAACTTGCTTACATAACGATTCAAACACGAGCTATTTTACAAGCTGAACACTGAGTTGTTCGGAAACAAGAACCCTTTTGACAACTTTTTCTCATCACCCGTGAAATTATGATATTAAAAAGATTCTCATCTCAAGGACAAATTATTAAGTTTCTTTAAAACAAAATCCAATAAAATCATACAAGTTATACTTTTACATAAAAACAAACCATCATATCAATTGTCTCCAATTAGATCACACAAAATCAATGGCATGCACCTAACATGTTAAGGATAATGGTTGAAATACTTGATCAAGACATTTTAAATCATTGGATCATTTCGAGATAAATAAACATATAGTTTATTAAATTTCTTTGTAAATTTAATAGTCGTATACTAATTTCGGATCAAGGGTGTATAAACGAGCCCACGCTCCACAAGCTGGGTCGATTAACTTTTTTTTTTTTTTTACTTTCACTTATATTATTTTTATGTAAAATCAAAATCAATCATGATATATGAAACATCTATGAATTATAGATCATTTCTACCTTCTATCAAAATCGCATTCTTATGTTTGATGTTTGATGCAGATTCCATCCGAAAGCCATCAAATGGGCGGAACTCCTTAAAGGATAACGCCAAATTGATCCGATCATAACTCAAATTCAATCGATTCAATCAAGATTCGAGTCAAAAGTAATTGTAAGTTAGCTCAATATTATCTCAATTTGAATCAAAGTTGAGGCTCATTCACCTCAGTTATTATTCTATTCAAGCCAATAAATATCCAATTCGATTTCGAGTTGGCTCAATTCACATTCCATTTAAATAGGAATGTGGTTTTTAATTGACCCACTAATTTCAGTCTGAGACAAGTAATTCTAGTTGATAGCCCTACATATGGGCACTAAAAGGCTTTAGATTTTAGGAAGATATACATACATACCACCCAATTCTTATGTATATGCATATCTAACACCTGCAACATTAATGTTTAACAAACACATCACCTTGTGCGTGAAAAAGGTGTATTTCACATCTTAAAAGTTAAATATTAAAGATTTGGGTGGTATAAATTGAAATTTAGGAGTTAGATATGTAAATACATAGTAATTGTATAGGTATATGAGCCACCAAAATGTTTTGCTTTCAGAAATCCGAGTGCAAGCGAACAAGACGCAAAGAATCGAATGGTATTTGCAGCCGCCATTGCCTTTGTTTCTTGCTCAGCGGCCTCCCCTTCCCTGCCTTGTCTCTGTTTATCTTCACGTCTGCTAAACCCAAGACGCAATGAGCAGTTTTAAGATCGAATGAAATGAGGCTGAAAATGCCATCAGCCTCTCGAATGGTGCGAGTTTCAGCATCCATTGTTGCGTACTTCACATACATTGGAGACCTGCAGAGGAACAAGTTGTTTCCACGATCATATCAGAAAGATGGGAACAGTCCGATAATCTTTAATGTGTTTTTTTCTGTCAGAAATTAGTTGACTAATTGAATAAAGAGAAGTTTTTAGAAGGAAATGATAAGCATCAAAATGGATTGGAAAATTAGGAGTGCCCTCAATATCCGGGAAGAAAGTCCACTTACACTGCAGATGTCACCCTGATTTAAGGATGGATATGTCTGTGAGATTCATTACATATTCTCATTAATGCAAATATCAAGAGTTACATGATTTATCTTTTATCTGATCTTTCGACCTGGACAAGTCATATGGGCTAACCGTCTTGAGCGATTTGTCATTAAATGACATGCCCATTATTATAACCTCTTGTAACGCCACTCTTCAGAGACATTTTTTTGGCATAAATGCTCTATTATATGTTTTGTCTTCAATAACATACCTGCCGACATATACAACAACATCAACAACAAAAACTTAATCCCACCACGTGGGGTCGGCTACATGAATTCTTTTTCTCCATTGCGTCTTATTTAGTGTCATATTTTCATTTAGTTCTAATAAATTGAGATCTTTTTTTATACAATAAGCCCAAGTCTTCCTATGTCTATCTCTGTATTTCTTAACATAAGTCGAATCTAAAATATCTACTCTCCTAATCGGATCAACAGATGGTCGACGTTTAATTTGACCAAACCTTTTAAGACGACTCTCTCTAATTTTGTCCGTCACTGGAGCTACATCAACCCTATCACAGATATATTCATTTCGCATTTTGTCTCTCGTGCAAAGCCACTCATCCACTTAATCATTGGCAACACTTAACTTACTATTATGCTTCTCTTTTAAAGGCCAACATTCAACACAATAGAGCATTGAAGATCTCATCACCCTCATATAAAATTTTCCTTTTAATCTAAGCGGTACTTTACTATCACAAAAAAGGTCAGAAACATTCCTCCATTTCAACCAACCAACTTGAATTCAACTATTAACATCCCCATCTATATCACCATCGCTTTGAACAACAGACCCGAGATATCTAAATCAATCACACCTTTTAATAATTTGATCACCAAAAATTACACTTCTGTAACTAGAGCTACTACTACTAAAATTACATTCCACATATTCAATTTTAGTTCTACCCAAATGAAGGTCTTTAAACTCCAATGTAGACCTCCATAATTCAAGTTTTTCCTAGGCTTTTTCTCTCGTCTTATCCACGAGAAGGATATCATCAGCAAAAAGTATACACCAAGGTACATCATCTTGTAAATGTCCAGTAAGACCATCCATAACTAAAGCAAAAAGATATGAGCTTAAAGCAGATCCTTGATGTAATCCAATAGAAATAGGAAAATAGTTGGTCAATCCTCCTTCAGTTCGAACACAAGAACAACTCAAGTATGCATATCTTTAATGACTTGAATTTAAGTCATATCAACATCTTTCTTCTCAAGAACGTTCCAAAGGACATCTCTTAAAACCTTATCATAAGCCTTTTTAAAATCAATAAAAATCAAATGTAGATCCTCCTAATAGTCTGAAGGAACTTATTATTGAGTTTGTTATGCAAGTCGGGATAACAGTTTTAGGCGAGTTCGCTGAGCTACTTGGTCGAGTAGCATTGGCTGCTTATTCTAGAAGAGTTGTTTAAACAAATATTCTAGCCGATCTACCTTGCTGGATTGACTAGTCGCTACGCATATTTAATTTCTTGAATCTTTTATTTCTTTGTTAGTGAAGCTGCAAACAAAAAAAAAAGAATGATAACTTCAATTTAAACTAATAACCAATGGATTATCAATGTTAATTAATGATTTAATACTAACTCGGAGTTCGGACCCTTTGTCATTTCTCAATAAATATGGGGAAAGGGTGGCTTGCTGAACCATTCTCATCATATGTTCTCCTTTTTCCTTCTCATATTCGCTCTCTAGCCTGTCTTTCTTGGCATAAAAATGAAAAACATCTAGCAGGAAAAGATCCCGATTCCTTCTAATTGACTCTTAGAAGGGTTGTCCATGAAGTGAAAGAAAGAAGGTAGATATGAAAAGAGAGATAATATGACTAATTTTGTTGAAGTAATGGTTGTGGTTTCTCAGGTGGGAATCTCTTTCAAACCTCACACTATTGATGTCATGGTTCCAACAGAGGTTCCACTTGAGATAGATATGGTGCCCGCCAAGGAATGAGCGGTATGTCTCTTACATATCAATTGGGAGTCAAGGTCAGATTGTATGAGGGGTGATACATATAAGAAGGCAATCTATTGAGAATTCTAAAAATTTGAATAGATTTCACAGTTCAGTTCACGTTCATTGACCTCGTGTGTGAAGATCCCATGGTTGACTAGCGTGCTCCAATGGATGAGGGGCAAGTTAAAAAAAAACGAGGCATTCGGCTTTTTGGGGCCGTGGGTTAAGGGGAGAACTCACTCTTCCCCCAGTTGAAAAGGATGTTTCTGCAGCCATGGACGGCAACTCGCCTACAACAGGTACATCTACTTTGAGTCCACTTTGTGGATTGTGACTGGTTGAAGTGCTTAATGAAATAAAATGAATGTGGAAAGAAGAACAGAAGAAAGAAATTAAATCTATATTAGAAAAACACATAAGATGTACATAATCTATACTATTTATAGATTACAAAACAACCAAACCAACAACTAAACGACAGCTAAGTAGATGCAAAATAAACCAAACCGGTTCATAGACAGATGAGCTGAACCGGATGACGATATATGTACATTAACATCCCCCTTCAAAATGACGATCTTTGTCGAAGATTGTTAGTTTGTTGCCAAGAGACTTGAACCGAGAATTGGGAATAGATTTGGTGAAGACATCAACAAGTTGATCAATGATATTGATATGAAAAACCATAAGAATTTTATTTTTGATACATTCTCTTAAGTATAGTGACAATCGATCTCTATGTGCTTTGTATAGACGTGGAACACCGGATTATTGGCAAGTGCTGTAGCAGAGGTATTTTTCAATCAGGAAGGATGGAGATCAGACAGCTAAATTAAGAGTTTTCTATAATTAGAAGCTTCCTTATTTCCAATATCTTTATTTTGATTTATTTCTCTTTTAGCTGAATATTTAGATTAGAAATATGTATTATTAGGTTACCTAACATAGAATATGCAGAATATTTTGTACCTAAAATAGATTGTAAAATTATTATTTAATGGAATGAAAACGAAGGGAAAAGGCATCGAGCCTATTTAGATTTCAGCCTATTTTTATCAAAACTTTGATATGGTATCAGAACCAAAATTTTGCCCTAACCATTGATAATCGTTGAAGGACCATCAAGCCTCCCTTCCCGCCGACCTTCTTGCGGGAAGGGAGGAACTATTTTTTCGCCTTATTCCCGCCCGCCTGCTTTGTCTAAAACCCTCGTCTTCTTCATATGCACCACAGTCGGAACGAGAAAGACAATGGATAAAGTTTTGGGGTTTTCGATGAAAATCCCCCTCGGCTACGTCCACGACATCTTCAAGACAGTAAACTCCATCTACTTCGACTCTCACGACTCCTTCCTCACCTTCACCGAAGAAGAAATCAAGAGCTTCTCCGCAACCTCCGTTTTCGGCGATTTGTACGACTCCGTCGAGAATTTCATTCGACGGCTGCGATCCGATCGGCTCTTCTTCGATCCCGGTGAGACCAGCTCGTCGATCATGGTGAAATCGAAATTGGTCGGTGAAGTCCTGTTCAAACAGAGCATCGCGATGACTGTTGATTCGGAGGACCCGTCGAGGGATTTTAGAGTTTTGATGGAGGAGATGGTGGAGGCTAATAGGGTCAAGGAATGGGAGAAATTGGTTGAATTTTTTGTTTGGTTTATTAGGGCGAATGGGAAGGAGAATCATGGGTTTATATTTGGGGTTTTTCTGGAGTTGCTTGTTGGACTTTCAGCTTCTTCTTCTTCTTCTGGTTCCTTTTCTCTTTCCTCCTTTGTTTCTAGGGCTTTGGAGATTGAGGAATTGCAGGAAGAATACGAGTTCTGATGAATTCATGGATGATGCTTCAGTTTAGCGAAAAATTTTTATCGATTTGCGTGAATAAGCTGTATGAAGAATTATGTGTTGAAGAAGATGAAACTTATTCTGAAATGCAAAATCCATTCATTGTGAAATACAAGGATTCTTGGGTTGAGAAGAGCTGTTATGTTTGTATTATTATTCGTTCGATTCGGATTTTCTTCACTAGGCATCGCTGCTTCTGTGACATCTTCGACTGCTTCTTACGCTTGGCTTCGTCCTCCTTGGCTTCTGCTTTGGCACTCATTCCTAGATCAATGGCTTCGACTTCGGCAAACCATAGATCTTATATGCTTCGACAAAACTTTGGCTTCGGCACTCTTGGGCTTCGGCCCTCTTGGGTTTCGGCACTCTCAGGTTTCGGCCTCTCGAGCTTCGACACTTTTGAGTTTCGGCATTTTTAGGCTTCAGTCTCTCGGGTTTCGACACTTTTGGGCTTCCGCATTTTTAGGCTTCGGCACTCTCAGGCTTCGGTCTTTTGGGTTTCAGCATTTTTGGGCTTTGGCATTTTTTGGCTTCAGCACTTTTGGGTTTCGGCATTCTTAGGCTTCAACAATCTCAAGCTTTGACACTCGGTTTCGGCAGCTTGAGAATTTTTTGTCTCGACAATGTTATCAGCTTCTTGTTGGCAAATTCATATTTTTTGATCAGTCGGCATCAATTTGAGGGGGGATATCAATCAGGAAGGATAGAAATCAGACAGCTAAATTAAAAGTTTTCTATAATTAGAAGTTTCCTCATTTCCAATGTCTTTATTCTGATTTATTTCTCTTTTAGATGAATATTTAGATTAGAAATATGTATTATTATTAGAAATATGTATTATTAGTGTATTATTAGGTTACCTAAAATAGAATATGCAGAATATTTTGTACCTAAAATAAATTGTAAGATTATTATTTAATGGAATGAAAGCGAAGGGAAAATTCATCAA